TTTGTGTTTCCGTTCTGGCGCAAAGCACGAAATCACCATACCCAGTCGAAGTAGGTCGTCGGGCACGTGCACCAAATGATGAAACTTCACCTTGATAAACGTATGGTACAATCGGCGAAACAGTACCGCGTGCTCTGCAATGGCCCCCGAAAGCGTGGCGTGCAATGCGCCCGTCATATCGTCCTCTCCTGATAGGAGCCCCAGCATGAACGTTAACAGCTCGAAACATCGAACGTGGTCCGCGGGCACGCGGCCAGAGCACCTGTCCCGAAGAAATGCCAGCAACAATGGGCAAAGTCCGAGAACGTCGCTCGCAAACAGCTTCACGTGGTCGTTCGCTATGAAGTTCTCCGTGAACCACTCTGGCTTGGGAGGTGACGCGGTCAACATGGGATGGATGTACGAGCGTGCGTAGGCGGCAATCTCATGCATATCGATATTCAACCTCTTCAAACACGATGTGAGCGCCGCAATCTGAAGCCCCGCAACGCCATGCGATGCCAGGGTGTGATGCCAATCCCTGGTGCAATTACTCACGGGGCGCAGCGCGCTTCTCAAACGGGGATCGCACAGCATCCCATGCTCATTATAACTAATGCCCAACTTCGTTTCGAGCGCCTCCACCTTCGACGTCGATATCTGCCCGACCTGCGATACCAAGATCCCGTGCATTCTCCAGAACGCGTCGTCGTCCAGCTGCTTGAGCTCCGATTTATCCACGCAGTCCAGTCCGACGGTGTACTGGCCGTCGGCGCAGCCAGTCTTGTGGGTAAAGTTCACCACGTTCATGCACGAGATGCAGGGTTTCAGCCCTGCCGCCCCTTTAATGGCCAACAACTCTTTTGTGGCCTTTTGCGCCCGCACGGCACTCCCATGGGGAACTACAAAGCCGCGCGTGAAGTTATGAGGCCCGTCAACGAACGTGGCGACGAGAATATGCTTCAAGAGGGCGATCACTCCCCCAGGAGTTCTCTCCACCAGCCTGGTGCGAACCCCGCCCAGGCAAAACCAGCCCCCCGTTCTATGGAGGAGCCAGCCTGGTAGCTCCAGAAAGGTGTAATAAAAATTCCACAACTGGCGCCCAACATCAGATCTCAAAGGGTTGCCTGGCGTCATCTCGTCACCGTAAAACACCAAGCTACAAGTGCACAAAGGTGCCTTGTCGAGCGCAGCAGGCAGCATATTGGCAAACTTTTCGCTGATAGTCGACATGCAGTGCAGAAACGCAAATGGGTGTACATATTCCCGCGGCCCGATGCCTGGGACATCCAGTGTCTGCACAACAGGTCCGTATGGCGTCCTCGCGCGGCCATGCATCTCCGCTGCTATCCTGCGCTGGCGTAGCTCATCTCGTCCTCCGAGCTCCTCGTCCCTAAGCATGCCTTTCCTATTCAGCGTCTGCAGGATGCGGGCGACGCTCGCCTTCGAACCCCGCGAAGTGGCCAGAAGCTCCGACCGCAGCTGCATCCTCGTCTCATCATCGATGTCGATCGTGGCGGGTGCGCCCCGCTTCATGTTCGCAACACTGAACCTGAAACGGCTGTGGAAGAATGGCGACGGCTGCGATGATACTAGAGACTGCGCGTGAGAATGCATATATGCATGGTGAATGCAAGACGTTGTTGTGTAAATAGTTATATTTGTATGTATATGCATGTATGTATGTATGCGTGTACGCATGTATGCATGCATGTGTATATGTATGTATGTGTATATGCATATATGTATGCATGCATGCGCGTTTGTATATCTATATATGTATGTATATGTACACGTGCCGACATCGATGCACATCCCTCGCGCGCGCAGCGGTGCGCGTTTTCGGAAGGAGGGCGAAACGTTGTCGCACTCTGATGCACCTTGGCAAGCTACCTTCGGCATGCCGCAACACAAACTTGCACAGGCGCAGAGAATGATGGCAGACACAGGGCCGCAAGTGAAGTCCCGCATTCACGCGACTCGAAGCGGATGACGGGTCGCGATGGGAGGGGGCGGGGCCTGGTTATTCGAGCGGGAAGGAGGGGGTCCGAGACGATGCCGTCTGTCGGCAAACGCCCCCATGGTAGTTCCAGAAAGGTTTAATACAATTCCACAGCATGCGCCCAGCTTCAGATCTCGAACGTCGACATTTGATTTACGATTTCGATGTGATGGTACTTTCGCAAAGCAGATCACACACATCGTGTGTATTTGTGTCGCTCTGAGGCGGCTTGCAAAACTGGCGCACAACACTTGCTGGGCGAACTCGACACACCTGCACATCACTTCCATTGGGCACTATAGTATACAAAGCCGTGTGTGAAAATCTGAGGCCCGTCAACATGGCGACGAGAATATGCTTCAAGAGGGCGCTCAGTCCGAGTCCTCCTCAGCCGCTGCCTGCACAGCCGCTGCCGCGCGCCTCGAGGCCCGATGCTGGTCTCGCGTCCGCGCGTCGTCGCTGGCGGGTCCATCGCACTCGGCGTCTTCGTCGCCGTCTCCACCTTCACCACCTCCACTGTCCTCCTCTTCCTCATCCTCATAGTCGTCCTGGAACATACCGCTATCGCTGTCCTCGCCCTTCTCCTCGGAGGGCGAGGTGAACCCCGACCCCTGTTCGATGCATATCTTTCGCTCCAAGCGCCGAACTTTGCTCCGAATCTCCCCGATGCGATTCATGGTCTCCACGTGGCGAGCCATCACGAGAGCCTCCAGCGCCTCGATTCTGGTCAACACCTCCCCGAGCCCTCCCCCCTTTCCCCCGCCCTCCCCCCTGCCCTTCTTCTCCCTCTTCCCCCCTCTCCTCCCTCTTCCACCCTCATCCCTCTACCGACCTCCCAGCCCCTCCTCGCGTATGGGATCAGCCGAGGCACTCGCCATGCCCCCCCCTGCGGCGCGGGGGCCTGCACTTCTGCTAGACGTAGTGCGTCGAGCCTTTGAACTGGAGTCAGCTCTCCGCTCGGGCCTAAAGCAACGGATATCGATGTCGATGTTTCTATCGAGTTCGATGTCTCTACTGGCGTCGATGTCGATGCTTTTATCGATATCGATTTCTTGCATCACAAAACCCCCATCTCAATGCTGGCCGATGGGCTTTCCGACGGACGGAGCTCGACCGCGGGGCGCGCAGGCAAACCGGCCATAGGAGATATATCTTTGCCTCGGGGGTCCTCCATCCTCATTCCTCCATCCTCCATCTCCCCCTCCACTCTCAATCACCCATCCCCCTCCTCCTCCTTCATGGTGATGGTGGCGATGATGATGATGGCGATGGTGATGCAGATGGTGATGAGGAAGATGATGATGATGACGATGATGGCGATGATGATATCGCGTTTTGTTCAAAGCGCGTGCCATACATCCCCAGCGCATTCGTTCATCGTGGGCGTAGATGTCGATGTGCGCGGTTACCCACGCCATCTCGGCATCGCTGGCATCAAACCACACCGCCCATCATATTGAAAGACACACTCCGTCGTCGATATCGATTGCGCCGTCAGTGGCGTGCTGATCGCACTACATGCGAGATTGTACCTACGAGAAGAAACGCCTCATGCCTTTGTGCTTATGCATTGGCTTAGCTGGAGGCATGCCCTGCAAATCCAATGCGCACAACAAGGCGCTGCACTTCTTGATGTCGAGCTTCATTCCGAGATCATCCTCATCCCGCTGGTGTTTTTTTTTTTTTTTTTTTTTTTTTTTTTTTTTTTTTTTTTTTTTTTTTTTTTTTTTCAGCATGACCATACAGTGCACACGGCTACAATAGAAGCACACGTCGTCCTTCCCATCATCGTCCTTCTTGCACTTGCACCCCGCCTTCACGTAGCGCCTCAAGAAGTGGTTCCTCAGCTTCTTGCGGTACCAGAGCGTGCCCCAGTACTGCGGGTATAAGATGCCGCCCTCGTCAGCCCGCTGCTTGATCTGCACCAACTTCCACGGCGTGGGCCCCTCCAGGTACGGCACCATCTTGACGGCCTTCATCGGGTGGAACTGCACCTCCTTTTCCATGTCGCCCGCGGGCTTGGCGGGCTTGTATTTCTTTAGCGCTGGCTGGAGGCCGAGCTCGTCATCGCTCAAGTCCATGCTCGGGCTGAGCGTGAAGCTCGGTGGAGCGAGCGCTCCCCGCATGATCTCGTCCCTCGGCGGGAACGGCGTCATATTCGCCAGGCCTGGCGGGAGCGGAAATTGCAGGTGCGGGGCCGTCTCCGTCTGCGCTGCATAATTGGTGAAGGACATCGACACTAACTGCAAGGATCGATAGGCGATTGCGAGTCTACGCGGGCTTCGATCGTCGACGCACAATTGCAACGAGCCAAAATGGCTGGGGAGGCCGCGCTAGACGATACAGGGGGCGGCCTCGGAGCAGAGTGAGAATACGATCGTAAAGTAAGATGGTATACCATAATAGTAGAGCACGCCACGATGTACGATAATCGAATACCTTTATGAGCTCGTCCCATCTTCGGCTCCAGGCTTCCTATATCTACTCTCTACTATCTCACTCTCACTCTACAATCGTTTACTGTGTTACTGCGGAGGAGAGAGAGGGAGAGAGAACAATAACACAATTGATTTGTTCGGTTCACATTGAGGCAGTCAGAAGGGCGTCACTCCCAATGACGCGCTGCGTGCAGACGCCTATGGCGATATCGATCTGAGTCCGCGTTGCCCGACGTCGATGGCTGGATAACGTCCCCGCGGCACATGCGAGCCTGACCGTCTGCGCACTGAACGAAAAGATCACACACGATGCAACTGCAAATGCAAACGCTGCTGCCCTACACCAGCGTAAAACAATGCTCAGCTGAGCGGGGTCGCGCTCCAATCGTGACTTCGCTACGACGAGCGCCACTCCGTAAACTTCGGTATCGATATATATATATATATATATATATATATGTATATATATATATATATATATATATGCGAACACAACGATTGCATCGGCGTGCCCTGCAGGGAGCGCTATGCCCAGCGTAGCGCACCACCTTAATTCGGAACTCGGAGCGCTGCTGCACCGCCTACCAGTTCCCCTTGTCACCGTCGATCCACTCGACCACAGCCTTCCACGCCTTCTTCTCGTCGCCGCCGTACGCGCCCCAGGTCCCCCAACTGAACATCTTGTCCCAGACAACGCCCACCTTCTTGACCCGCCACTTGGAGTTCTTCTCGTCCGTATAGATGGCATAATCCTTGTAATGTATGGGGGGCTGCTTCTTGAGCGCGGGTAGCGGGGGCGCCTTGGTCGACGTCGATGTTGGGCAGGCCTTGGCCTTGGCCTTGGCCTTAGCTTTGGCCTTGCCCTTGCCTCTCGTCGTCTCGGTCTCCTCCAACATCTTCTTGATGCACTCGTCGATCTCCTCCTGCCGTACCGCGGGCCCCCCGCTGGCAGCGGCGGGCTTCTTCATAGCTGGATGCTGCTCCTCATCGTCTTCGTCGTCATCGACTTCGGCGAGCGCGCGCTTCCTCGAAGCTTGGAGCGGCGGCGTCCCCGAGCCAGGATCCGGCACGGCGCCCTTTGGAGCGGGCGTCGTCGGCGGCTCGAGGGACCCTGCTGATGAGGTCCTCCGCAAGCCCGATGGGGGCTCATTCAAGAAGGTCAGCGGGGTGTCGCCCTGCCGCGGACCCCCTCCTGCCGATGCGGTGCCCATGAGCTGGCCGAACATGTTAAGCATCGTGCTCATCTGCTGCATGAATGCGTCCTGGCGCCTGCTGTTCGGGTTCGGGCGCTCGAACGGGACCATGCTGCTGCTGCCCCCCGAGGGGTGCTCATATATTCCGTTCGTTTTGCGGGCTTTCGTGATCTGCCCTGCTTGCAGGAGCAGGGCCTCGCTAAACTGAGGCTTGGGGAGCACGGAAGCCCCGAGCACCTGCGGCTCGATCTCGACGAATTGCGACACAAGGAGGGGGTAGTTGCAGACAGACGATTGCGCCGAGCGCCTCGATGCACGTTTCTTCTTGATCTGCTCCTCTGGGCAGCACGCGACCCCCATCGGGCGCCCAGCCTCGAGCATGTAGCCCCGTGGGGTGCCCTAGGGGGAGCGGGGTCGTCTGGTTGAGGCCCCTGGATCGCCAACAAATTCAACAAAAGGCGGGGCAACATCTTGAAAAAAGCTGGGTGAAAACCTTGGCCCGAAACATGAGATGGCGATGTGGACGGAGAGGGAGGGGGCAGTGGGGATGGGGAGAGAACGAGAGTGTGGGTGATAGTGGTTACTCGATGTCGACACGTTCGGGGCCTCTCAATATCGACGTCGCCTCGTCCTCCTCCTCACCCACCTTCTCCCCCCGATCCTGCCCATATAACCCCCGACCCCGATGCTGAGACCTGGGCGCTCGATGCGGGGGTCGCGCATTCGACGTCGAGTGCATGCGATGTCGATGTCGAGTCCTTGAGCTGGTTCTTGTACTCGAACGCCTGCGCGGGCGTAGGCTCCCGACCCGCGGCGATCTCGCTCGCGACCGCGAGGGCGGCCAAGCGAGGCACCGTCTTCTGGTCGGGGTAGTGCAGGCCGAGGGTGTGCACGAAGTACTCGCCAACCTTATCGAGCTTCGCCTCGACCCCCAGGTGGGGGTCCTGTAGCAGCGCCCGCATCTCTGTCGTCAGGTAGTGCTCTGGGTACTGGTGCGTCTGGTACTGCACGTTGAAGTTACGCCCGTCACGCTTGCCCGTCATGGCGATGTCCATCGTCACCGACTCCGTTACTGCAGTTATCAGCTCGCGCTTCTGGGCGGCCGTGAGGATGTCTGTCGCGTTGATGGCGTGTACGGTCTGAGTCGCGTCATCCCTGGCGCAACCACCACGACGGGCGATCATCTTCACGTGGGCGACCTGGCGCTCGATCACCTGGGCCCGATCCGCATCCTCCATCTGGGCGGTCACCGCCCGCGCGAAGTCGACGACGCCCTTGAAGGTGGCGAGACACGACGCCCTTGCGGTGGGTGCCGCCGCCGCGCTCGTCATGGCGATGCCGATGCGGACGCGCTTCGATGTCGATTGCACCTAGGCGCTACGAGCCCAAATGGTGACGGTAAGATGGTGATGCATAAGGCCCTGCCCCCTCCTCCAGGCCCTCCCCCATCTTCCAGCCCACCTCGTCCTGACCTCCCACGCGGCCCATGAGGCGCTGGGCGTACCAGTTTGGGTGGCCCGATTCGCGACCACCTCGATCGCAGCCGACGTCGATGGGTGACGAGGTGATGGTCACCATGACCATCACCTCTCCGTGGATTGACGAGGTGATGGTCATGATGACCATCACCTCGTCAATCCACGGAGAGGTGATGGTCATGGTGACCATCACCTCGTCAATCCACGGCGAGGTGATGGTCATGGTGACCATCACCTCGTCACCAACTATCTTCGCTCATGGCCGCTGGGGTGGCTGGACGCGCCCAACGATTGCCCATGTCAGCGCTCGCGCGCGCCTCGTTCGGCACCCCGTCGCATCAATGGCCCATCGCTCGTCAGCCTGATGCCCCCCCCCGTTTCCCCCACTCCCACCACCTCCTCATGTCGCTCCCACTCCCCATCCTCCTCCTCGACGGGGGGGGGCGGCCTGCGCCTCGACGGCGCCCGCGACGTGCGGCGCGGCGGGGGGGCGGCGAGAGAGCATCAGCGAGGGAGCACCCATAGTCGATGCGACGACGACGACGACGACGACCACGATGAGGGCCATCGCGGGACCAACAGCGCGTTGCACAAACAGTTCAAGGAGATGGGGGGGGGTCGTCCACGATCGCGCGGCGAACGCGCGCCAGGCACGCTGCCACCGACGACGACGAACGACGACGACGGCGGCGGCGGCGGTGGCGAACGACGACGACGACGACGGCGGCGGCTCTGTTTTTTGCATCTGCAGCGGCGCCGTCTCTAGCCGAGATCGACAGTCGACTGTGCCCTGCTCCTCGCGCTTATCATCTGCGGCGCTGCGAGGGCCTAGGCGGGGTCCTCGAAGGCCTTGGCTGCGGCGCCTCGCTGCGCGACGCCACGCGCGGCTCCACCGCGTCCTCGACCATCAAACTCGAAAACACAAGTCGACATCGATTCAGCAGCAAGCCGCGAAAGAGGCCCCATGTGCCCTAAGGGGCCCCGAAGAGAGGTGGCGCCGCACTTCAATACACACCGCAGTCTCGCACCGTGAGCACGGGAGGTTGCGTCAGCTAAGGTCGTCGTCGTCAGCCTACCGACGCCACTGGCCCGTGTGATACTGTTGCTCCAGGGCCTGCCGCGCGTTCGTCACGCACTTGTGAACGAACTTCGACGGGTTCGTGAGGCTCCCCTCGCCCATCTTCTTGAACAGCTTGTACAACACGTTGTTGGCCTCGCGATGGCCCTCGTCGCTGAACTGGGCCAGGAGGAAGACGCTCTGCTGGGCCGTCTCGTCGATCTCGTATCGACGAAGAAGGCAGGGCCAGGCGCGAGGGTCCCGCTCGAACGTGGCCCAGACGGGCTCCTGCACCTCCTCAGCGACCGCAGGCGCCTCCTCCGCGGCCGCCTTCCATCGACTTCGATGTATTTAGCAAGCCTGTATTTCGATAGTCGGGGGCCATATGTGTGGCCAGGGACTCGGGGCAGGGGGCGGGGTCATGACCACTCGGGGACACTCAGGACCAGGGGGGGCAACGCTGGACTACAATGTGGTTCACGTGAAACGGCCTTTTGTTCCACCTCCATGCTCACTGGCGTTGCAGATGATGAGTTAGCGTCGGCAGTCGAGGTGGCTTCGCCAGCTGCTCGAGGATCGACTTCTGATAACGTCTCGGCCTTGGCGCCGCCATTTCATTCGTAGGAGGGGAGGGGTCAGTTGTTTCGACATCCAAGCTTAGGAGGTCTCAAAATAGACTTGGCACCCAGAATGAGGATGAGGGAGAGGATGACGATGGGGAGGAAGCGGGGGGGGGGGAAGGAGGAGCAAGATGAGGGGCATATGGGCGGTGGGCGAGATAGTTGGGTGCGTGAGCGAACTGAGACAGACGCATGTGCTGAGGCTCCTGGACCGCCACAAAAAAAACAATAAAAGGTCGAGCAACAAAACAACTAAACGTAGACCCCCCGTACTGGAGATGGCGATGTGGACGGTGAAGGAAGGAGCATGGGGGAGAGAACGAGAGCGCGGGTGGCAGTGGTTACTCGATGTCGACGCTTTCGGGGCCTCTCGATATCAACGTCGCTTCCTCCTCCTCGGCCACCTCCTCCTGCTCCTGGTATCTCCCCTCTTCCTCCGCATCGTCGGACTCGCGGGCGTAGACCCCCCGCGTTGGCACTGGGCGCCAAGCACTGCTGGCCCCGGACTTGCCGTAGACGGGGCCAGCCTCCTTGCCGCCCTTGGTGCCGCCCTTGCCGCCCTCGCCGATCCCGCCCGACTTCTCGGCCCGCGGCGGTGACCCTGGCGGCGGCACAGGCCCGACATTGCGCACCATGTGGTACTCGGTGTAGACCCAGACCCACAGGCTCTTCCACGCTGGGTACGCCATGTGGTCGTCCCTGACCGCCTGGCTCGCGTAGAGCTGAGGAAAAGGCGCCTCGCCGCCCTCCGCCAGCTCCCATGCCTTCCCAGGCGCCATCCACGCCTTGACGCTCTCCAGCATGCTGATGTGCCCGCGCTTGCCGTACTGCTCGCCCGAGTTGAAGATCTTCGAGTTGCACACGCGCACGTGCATACCCTCGACCTTGTTCCTCGACAGTATGAAGTTCAGCATCGCGTTGCACATGCGGCCCACCGTGTCGCTGCGATGAAAGCCGTGCTGGCACTCCACCAGGACGAGGATCGACGGCCACTCCTTGATCTTGTAGTTCGACACCTCGATGACGATGTCCTTGCACGCGTCGACGAACCCTGATTGTGACATCACCGTCTTCTGGGTTTGTGCGTGAAGACCGTTCTCCTTGTGTCCGATCGTCTTGCCCGGGTCTTTCGTCAACAAGCGCCTGACGTCGAAGCGAATGACTTTCGACCCCATGCGCTCGCACTCGTGCGCGGTATCGTTCACCAAGTCCTTGTGGATCTGGCCATAGGTGATGACACCCACGACCTGCGCGAACTGCATGGAGCGGCTCTCCTCCATGGCGCAGGAAGAGTACAGGAAGAGAAGGTTGTAAGAGTGCGCTGCAGCACAGCCGAAGGCGCGCGCGTGCACTCAAAGAGCCGCAATGGCTAGTAGGCGATGGTCGATGGGCCAGCCTCGATTGTCAAGTGTCGATTGTCGATCTGGAAGATAAGCCAACTGCAGCCCAGCAGTTCGCACAGCGACTTTGAGCTCCCCTATAGGCGCCAAGGCCAGTTCCGCACCCAGCAAAACCCGCCAGGGCTGCCCAAGACACAGGAACCCAAGGGCGAGCAAGCTCACCACTCCCAAGGGCCCAGCGAGGACAAACCCACCAGGGCGACGAATGAACCAGGACTCCAGCCTGGATTTAGAATATGAATAAGGGGAGCTCGAGACCGCTTCTGAGACACCCGTGCTCTTCGTCATCGATTGCAGCTGGCTCCAACTCCAGGGCGCAATGCAACATCCAACGCAATATCAAGTGCAATCGCGATGAGGCAAGTATTACCACATACTACGTGCACCTATATACGTACACATATATCACTCATGTAAGCATTGCCACATAGTACCTGCACACATGTATATATATACATAGAGGTATATAGACACATCCCCCTCATACGCAGAGATATATGTATATATAGTCACTTGTATATATGTGTAGATATATATGTGTAGAGATATATGTAGAAATATTATAGACCCATGTATATACGTAGAGATATAGACAGGCCCAAGTGGAGCAACCTTCACCACATCATATGAGCAGCAGGGCTTGGACAGGACGGGCGAATGAGGAGGACGCTGCGGAAGGAGGAAGACAAGGCGGAAGGAGGAGGACGAGGAGGAAGGAGGAGGAGGAGAACGATATCGATGCTCTTTTTTTCCGTGCCAGCCCTGTCACGAAACTCTCAGTCGTTCTCGACTTCGACAAGCTCCTCTTTCTCGTCGTCGGCGGCAACGCCGTCGGAGGTGCCAGCATTGCTCTGAGAGTCCTCACCTGCCTGAGCTGATTCGAACAACTGCATCGCCTCCGCCGCGGAGCTCGCTGTCCTGTACCTCGCGCTCACACGGCCGTCATCGCCTGTACGTTTCAGCACGAATTGGCTCTTGGTGTAAGAGAAGCTCAGCCCAGGATACCCCTTAGTGTCGACCTTGAGCTCAGCAGGAACCTTCTCGGACGGATGCTGCTTGTGGACGATTCCCGACTTGATCTCGAACCCGCAGCACGCCTTCAAGTACATCACGAGGTCCTCCTCCAGCTGCACATACAGGGGGGGCCCAGGCCTGTCGATAATGGCCTTGAAAGGGGTGCCCTTGATGTCGCCCATGGTCGGACCATGCACCATCGCTGTGGTGCCCTGAATCTCGTCGTGGTTCGACCTGAATCGTTTCTTCCATGTCCTGGAGCCAGGCGGCGGTAAGGGTGTCTTCTCCATTCCGTGAACGCTAAGCTGGTCCAAGGAGGCTAGCAATGACGATCTGTATGCGTCATCTCTAAGGCGCCCCAATGTTTCACAAATCGATGTGTTCACAAGGGGCCTGATGCCCTTGGAGCGCGGATGCCCAAGCAGCTTCGTCACCACATCGCAGCTCTTCTTGAGGTGAAAGAATACACAACCGCTTAGCTCCCTGCAATCGTCCAGAATGACTGGCGGAGCCATGTGAGGGGCGCGCGCACGAACAACTTTGTCCACGCACCAGGCCATAGCATCCACCATGTGTCGGATATCGATATCGACGTATTCCTAGAAGCGCGCGGGGGCGCATCTACATCTGGAGCCAAACAAGCAACGCGCGACGTCGAGCGATAGGCGCACGCGGCTTTCGACTGACGTGGCGTCGTGAACCGCGTTCCCCGAAATAACAAACACACAAAGTTTGGAGCCTAAGCGTCTTAAGTAAGTTGTAAGAGGTTTAAGCGTATACGCGGCCCTGGATAAACGTTCTAAGTTTCGAGCTCGACCGCGATTTGGAACTGGGCACGGCGACGACGATGACGCCGACGAAGCGGACGACGACGACGACGATTATGTATATTTCGTGGTAACTATTGCAAGAACTCCAAAACTCCATGGGAATCCAACAGTCCATGATCGATGTCGATGCCTCACCTCTACATCGCTCCACTGCTTCGCAAATCGATGCGTGCATGTATGTCTACCTGCTGCGCGCTACTTTCTTCATGGTGGACACCTCGATGGTCGGCGGAGTGGGCCTCTTCGGGGCAGCGGTCGCGACCTTGGGAAGCGTGAGCTCGTCTCCAACGTTCAGAGCCATGACGTTGGTG